GCTAACAGGCGAGGCTCCTGAAGTTTCATTCCCCAGCTCATTGACTTGTGTCTGCCGCCTTTCTTCCTTTTTTTTTTTTTCCTCTTTTTTTCCACCCTTTGCACTCGTTTTTCTGAATCCCTTTTTTTCTTTGCCTTTTCCCCCCCCGGTGCTGCCTGCCAGCCAGCTCCGCCGGGGCGGCTGCGGCACAGCGCGAGCCGGGGGCTCCTTTACATCCCTGATGAGGAACGAAGAGAGGCGTCTGGGGGGCGCGGGAGCCTGCTCGTGCCTATATGCATGACCCGCGGGTGAAGCCCGCGACAAACTCCTGCCCCGGCTCTGTTAAATCAGAAAGGCTCTGCAGAATATTAAATGAAGCTGCCGTAGCTTTAAATGGCCCCATTATTTTTGTTAAATGCCCTGGTAATAAAGCTATAAGGGACGCTACAATGGCAGAGATTCATCGAGAGCCAACGGGAGGGAGGGGAGCCGGGGGGTAACCGGTTACTTCCCCTCTGCTGCACTGGAATTAAATTAAGCGTAACCCAGCGTTAGCCCTGGACACCGTTCAGGAGGAAATAGTGACGCGGTCTTTCCCCTGCGCGCGGGTCTCTGCTGCCTTTGTTGTGGCTCAGGCCGTCGGAAAGGGCAATTTTTGGGCATCCTTTAGGCTGGAAGGGGGTGGCTGGGTTTGGCTGGAGGAAGAGGAGGCAGGGGGGCTGTCTCTTCGGCCTCGCTGGCCTCTCGCCTTCCCTGGCAGCGGGGGGATGGAAAGACCCAGTCGAACGAGTGCCCTTGGCTCTCCCCCCGCGGTGGGGAGATGCGCCCGTCCCGCTGCCTCGCAGTGGGGAGATGTGCATCCCTTTATGCCTCTGGTTGCAGCTGGACCAACAGCCCAGTTCGATCTCGCGTAGAGCCGTGGCCTCCATAACGGAGAAAACAGGTTTTTTCAAGTGACAGCCCCAAAATCTGCTGGGTCTGGACAGGTTTGGTGGTGGGACCATCCAGGTAGTGAGCAAACAGAGCTTTGCAAAACAGGAATATTAAATCAGGTCACCTTGCTGCTTGCGAAAGGTCCCTCTGGCTGCAGCGACGCTCCCGTGCTGGAAGCCGGCTGCCCCAGGCAGGATCTGGCCGTCGCACCAGCGCTCCGTGGGTCGCCTTTTGTCTTGTCCCTTACTACTTTCTTCTCCTTTTTTCCCCTCCTCATTTCCTACTAGGCTCAAGTGCCACAACAAATGCACCAAAGAGGCCCCTCCGTGTCACCTGCTGATCATCCATCGCGGAGGTAAGGACCTCTTTTCCCGAATCCGCCTTCCGGGATCTTTTCGCCAGGTAACCTTTTCGAAAGCACCCGAGGGACTCGGGAGCCCAAAGCCTGTTGACAGCCAATGGGACTGAGGCTCCCGGAGCGCTTGGGCGCTTTGTGAAAACGTTACCGACCGTCTTTTCCGCTTGTAGGGAGACGAGCCGTACGGTGCGAGGCAGATTTGCATCCCAAACCACTTCCACCCACCCTCCCCCTGCCACCTTTCCTTTTCAGATCCCCCACAGCACGGGGTAAGTGCAACAGGTTTGCGCCTTTCGCTAAGGGTGAAAGCTGGCCTGGGTGGCAGCGTGGCGCCCGCCACCCGCC